CGTCGTCGCGTCACCTCCGCGGGGACCCCCGGGGACCCCCAGACCCCGCAGCACCGCGCGGCGCCCGCTGGATTCCAGCAGCTCCTTCACGCGCTCCGCTCCCACCTGGGCCTCCAGCAGCACCGTCTGCGTCTCGGGGCGCAGCTCCAGCAGCCGCACGCCTGGAAATTGGGGGCGGGGGGAGATGGGGGGTGGCAAAGTGGGGGGGAACTGAGGGGCACAGAGTGGGGCTCTGGGGCGCAGCTCCAGCAGCTGCACACCAGGGAACTGGGGGGGGAGATGGGGGGGTGGCAAAGAGTGGGGGGAAGGGGGGAACCGAGTGGGGCTTGGGGTGCAGCTTCAGCAGCTGCACGCCTGGAAATTGGGGTGGGGGGAGATGGGGGGGTGATAAGGAATGGGGAGATGGGGGGCACGGAGTGGGGCTCACCTGGGGCGCCCTCCAGCGCTGCCCGCACGGCTTCGGCGCAGCTCTCACAGCTCATCTGCACTGCAAACTCCATCTGGAAAAGGGGGGGATGGGAGGAGATGGGATGGGATGGGATGGGGGAGGGGTCTGCGCCCCCAAACGCCCCTTCCTGGGTTCCCCCCCCCCAAGCGCCCGCTTATGGGACTCCGCACCCCCAAATTCCCATTTGTCATCCCTGCGCCCCTCAGAGTTCCACAGATGCCGCCCTTCCCCCTCCTCTTTAATGGGGTTCTGCCCCCCCTAAATGCCGTTTCTCGGCCCCTGCGCCCCACAAAGTCCCACCAGTGTACGGCCGACTCCCCAAAACGCCCCTTAGCGCCGCCCCACAACCCCAAGCCCCCATTTAAAGGCACCTCCGCCCCGCAAACCGGCATTAACGGCTCCACGCGCCCCAATGCTCAGCCATGGGTCCCTGCGGCCCGCGAACAGCCCCGCATGGCCGCCACAACCCGACACCGCCCTTAAAGGGGCCGCGCACCCCCGAACGCCCAGACGTGGGGCCCTGCACCCCACAATGCTGCCGCCTGTGAGGAACTGCGCCATCTAAATTGCCACCTACGGGCGCTGCGCCCCCAAAATGGCTGCGAGCGGAGCCCCCGACCCCTAAACCCGCTCCGCCCGCCCCCAAAGCGCCGCCCCCGCCGCTCACCGTGCAGCTCGACCCCCCGGACCCCGCCATGACGGCGGACTCTGAACTCCGCGCGCTGCGCAACGCTCTACTGTCACTTCCGGTGCAATGCATTGGCGTCACTTCCGGCGCAGAAACTGAAAGCGTCGGATGCGATCGGTATCACTTCCGGCGCAGCGATCGGCATGGAAACGGAGCCTCGGGGAGTGTGGGCGATAGCGGCGCCTTGTTTACACGTCACTTCCGGCGCTCCGGTCGCCATGGAAACAGAGACGCTGTAGGCCTCGTGGAGCGCGGTCCGGAGGCGGCGGGAAGCGCTGGGGGTCCCGGGGGCGGCAGGGGGTTTTCGCGCGGGAGGATTCCGGCGTTTGGGGGCGCGCGGCTGAGGTGAGGCCCGCGGCGTCGCACCGGGCCGTTCGTTTTCTTGGAGCCCGGGGCCGATTTTCCGATGACGGCGGATTTTGACCGCAGAGCGCCGTGCGATGGCGGCGCCACGGAACCGCCGGGAAGGACGGAGGAGCTCCGCGCCGCCGCCACGAAGCCCCCGGCGACCCAACGCGGCCCTTCCGGACGAGCCCCTCCCGCCCCGCCGCCGCCTGCGGCCCGACAACCCCGGGTAACGCGGGGCTCCGTTCCGCTCAGCGCCGCCCCGCTGCTCACCGCCGTCACCCGCCGCCCCGAGGACCGCGCGAGGCTCCACCGCCTCCGGACGCCGACCGAGCCGCCGCAGGAGCCGCGCGGAGCCCCGCCGGCCGTCGGCGTGCGGCTCTGGTGGCATCCGGAGCCGATGGAGGGCGCGGTGAAAGCGGGCCTGGAAGCGGCGCTGGGCTCTGAGGCGGGGATGGAGCTGCTGGGTGGTGGGAGGCGGCGGCGGCGGCCATCGCGCAGCGACACAAAGCTGCAGCCGCTGCACGGCCACGCTGGGACTCAGCCCCTGCACAGCGACACAGAGCTGCAGCCGCTGCCGGCCCACGCTGCCGTGCAGCCCGAGGAGTTTCCCCATCGCCGCCCGGCCCCCCCCGAGGCTCTCCGGGATCTCCTGGCCCGGCTGGGCTCGGCGCTGCCCGCCCCCTCCTCGCGTTTCCACGCGGAGCCGCTGCTGGAGCCGGCAGCCACCGACCTCGATCTGACCGCAGGGCGATCCCAGCAGCAGCCCGGGGCGGCTCCGAAAACCCCCGGAGCGCCGCCACGACCGCGGCAGCTCCTGCACGACTACCGGCGATTCCTCACCGCCGCCGGCTCCGACTTCCTCCACGCCATCTTCAACCTCAGCAGCGCCGACGGCGACGAGGAGCCGCCCGACGAGCGCCCGTGGGGGACGGCGGAGCCCCCGCCTGCAGCCCGGCTGACGGCAGAGCCGCCGCCTGCAGCTCCGACGCCCAGCCCTGAGGAGCTGCAGCACCGCCTGCACCGCCTCTGGGCCGCCCTCCAGCTCCCCGCGGCCGAGCGCTTGGCCATGGCCACCAAATACGGCCCTGCGGCCGCCCGGCCGCGACTGAAGGCCGCCTTGGAGCTGTGGGAAGAAGCGGCCGCTCTGATCCGCCGACGGGAGCGGCTGTTGGCTCTGCTGGAAGGGCTGGAGCTCCGAACTTCCGACCCCGACCGCTTCTTCCAGCGCCGCCCCGGGCTCCCGTCCTCGGCCGCCCTCCACGGGGAGACGCGAGCGCGGCGGCGGCTGAACGCGGAGGTGCTGCGCTGCGAGGAGGAGCTGCGGGGGAAGCTGAGGAGGCTGCGGGAGGAATTCGGGGACGCGGTGACTCTGAAGGGACGCGGCTACGAGGAGAAGCTGCGGAGGGACCGGGCGGAGATGCTGTACCGGCTGCAGCAGGGCCGGAGAGCCGCCGCCATGGGCGGCATCGTGCGCTCGGAGCCGGGGCGGCGGTGAGGCGGAGCTCCGTCAGCCCGCGGCCCCGTCGCCTCCGCGTTGCGGTCCTACGAATGGAAGCGCCGGATTTGGGGCCGCGGACGAAGAGCTTCATTGGTTCCGAACGACGAAGCGGCGGCCGCAAAATAAGGGGGG